CCCAGAAGACCCACACCAGCCATCGTATGCCGGCCGTGAAAGCCTTCGACAATATATTTCTCTAACTCATTGATAACAAATCTCAAAGGCAGCTTTCCAGAATGTTCAACATATTCATTTCTCCTAGAATGTTCTACTTAGGACAATACCAAAATGAATCCTTTATAGATACCAACAGCTCTACAGAAGTCTGCTTTCCTCTGAATCCTTCCCATTTGATCAACACCAAACTGTATGACATTTTCAATCAAATGGTACATAGAAGCTGAAGTTACTGACCATAGAAGCATGGACTTGGAGAGAAGTTATGTTTAATTGATTTCTCCCTTATTTTTTAAATTCAGAAACATGGATCATTGTCCATGGGGATCTTAGCAGCATTACTTATCTGCCTGAATGCCCACCTTTGTGGCCTGCTATTTGGATTAACCCTAGCTTTCACAATTCTGGATGCCACAATATAGTCAGCGTTATGACTCAGTTTCCCTCAGTAGTTCAACAAAGCAAGACTATTTTATGTTTGTTACTGCTCAGTGGCATGCACTTCAGATAAGTTGTATCCACACTGCAACAGCTGAACTGACACCAGTGAAAGCTGTGCTGATGCGCTAAGATAGGCCCCTCCATAACTGTGATTTGCCAAGGAACTTTGATTAGTGACAGCAAGACACTCAAGTGCAGAACTGCTCTTTAATTCTTGAAATTGCCATTAGAAATCCTGAATACTCAAGTTACTTTTTTAAAAGGAAGTCATGGACCTTAGTAATGGGAAGGAATAAAAGCACATAATTGGCAAGGGCAATTGAATAACATATCTCCCAATTCTCAGTAGTTGCAGGAAAACCACAATTGATTAAAAATAGATGGTAGGGTTAATAAACGTGCTTTAATTTTGAAAGTTTAAAAAAACTGATCCAAACAGCCAGGTTTATATTTTTTACATATTTCTGATTTTAAAGTCTTATGATGATGGCTTAACCTAAGCTAGTTCCACCTCTCTGTATTTGTAATGTAATGGATTCTTTAGCTTGTTGCTACCCACCCCCACATTAATTCAAGTCCTGCATTTATTATTCTGTGCCCACTTGCTGATATGTAGACCCCACTGAATTCAAGTTCTGAGTAAACAGTTGCACATACAAGTGCTCAGATTGAAGAGTGCTGTATTTTCTTCCACTGTAGATGTTTAAATACAATTGCGTTACTTGTACGAATCATTTCTTTTATTTCATTTTATAATTAAGTTAATCAGTTAGCCACACACTGAAATAGACAATAACACCGATTAATGGCCTTTCCCCAAGACATGCTTGGACAATTTCAGTTTTCTGCTGCATCCCATGCACAGCCCTACTCTGTCTCTATTGCCTGGATCTTGTCCCTGCTCCATGTATGACCCAGCCTTGAGTTGCCTTTAGCTGTTCTAGTATTCAGGTAGAATTTCCCCACTTATTGTGACTACAACAAGGTAAAATCTCTCAGACTTTATCACCCAGCATGATGGGGGGATGTCAGAGGCAGGGGAAGGATCAGCCATCCAGAATCAGACGCTTTGATACCAGTATAGTTTTCTGCTGACTCAGGAAGGACAGATCGCATTCCAGCTGAGCAGTGGGGAAAGGGTCCTAGCTTGAGGATGGAGGAGAGAACGCAATGGAGAAAGGAATCAAGCTGCAGAACATTGTGAAACTGGGTTCAGAGATTAGAGGATACTTCTGACATGTCTAAAGCCATGACAAAGTTTATGGGACTTTGTCATGGCTTTACAACGTGTCAGTGTCATTATTTCAGCGGTTCTGCTTCCTGGGTGCAAGCGACCACATTCAATATTTTTGGGGATCATAAGCAGAGCAACAGCAGTAACAATTTAATTATCGCAAAGGAATCCCATTATAAAACAAGATTTAATCATACTTCTTAATAGAACCAAAGCAGACACTCAGCCGCACCTGAGATTTCAGAATTTTCTTTCTTTTTTTTTTAGTATCTTCCGCTAAATTATGATGTCTACATCTCAGGATGAAAGGCAAAGATTTCAGGAAAGGGGGACATCCCAATTTCATCAGCACAGGGTGCTTAATAGCATTGTTTAAATATGTACACAAGCATACAAATAAACCATGCAAAGACTGGCTAGAGTGCATCAGAGATTGACTGCATACTTTTGTCAACGCAAGCATTGCTGTATAGTAAGAGGAACTGCTGAAATTTGTATCCATACTTTTAATGCGAAGTCTGAAATCATGTATCGTACACACCCTGATCCATATATGACTGTTGATAATAACTGACTCATGGAAATCCATACACATTCTTTTTATTTACATCTTTTTGTAGTTATCTTGCACACACACACACACACACAAAAGTAAGTGTGTATGTGAAATAGGTCTCTTTCAGTTCATTAATGTTGAAGTTAGTTGTTGAAGAGAAAATCATCATGTGTACATAGATGGCTTTACCCCATGGCAAATTACACAAGAGAGTTCATGAGATCCTGGTCATAACATAGCTTAGCTTAGTTTAGCTTAACCTTTCCCCCCTCCCCTCCTACTGCTGAAGATCAGACAGCCTGTGTTTTCCATGGGCTCCTAGCTTCTCGCAGGGATCTGTCATAAGGCAGAGTGGCGAAAAAAGAATGTTTCAGCTGGCAGTTAATAAAAAGTACAATGATTGTGACAGCCAGAAGCAGGAAGAAGAAAAGGACAACATATGTCACCAGGTCTGGCTTATTGATCTCACCTTCTTTTAACACTCTGGCTGTGGACATGTAAAAAGCTGAAGAGCTGATAGGTCTGTGGGTGCTCCCTGGATAGGGAGTGTTGGTCTGAATGATCAGGTGGGGATCAGTTGCAGTGGTTGAATTGAGAAGTTCTCCATACATTTTCCTCCTTAAATATTTTCCTTGTGGCTTATACAGGAACACAAAGTAGGATGTGTGCATGTGTGTGTGTCTGTGTGTCTGTGTATGGCAAAGAAGGGATTCTTCTATGTAAGCGAGAAGAGAGTTGCCTTCAGAATTAAGAAGAAGGTTGGGTTCTTCCCTTAAAAAGTATTATTCAGAGATGGCATCGATGGCATCAGCCACCTAGGGAGGCTTTTCAGGCCAGAAGAATTAAGGAGTTCCTGTCCTGGCCCTTTGAAGATGCCCCTTTGTCTCACTCGGATTTTCTGGCAGACCGGTTGGTTGCGTGGAGAAGCAGAGGGGTCCTAAAAGTTGGGAACTTTGGCCAGGCAACTCGGCTTGCTCTGGAAAAGGAACCCCAGAACCCCCTCCTAAGGATTAGATCCCCACAAAAAGGCAAAGAAAGCAAAAAAGGAAAGAGGTCGGCAGGCGGGCACTCACTTGCTTTGGAGGGAAGCCACCACAGAATCCCCGAGGCTTCTCAAGGAGAGGCGCCCCGTCTCCAAGGCTGGGGAAAATTCGCGTCCACCAAAAGGTGCCCCGTCTTCCTTGGCTTTTGGCTGACTCTCCGGAGGCGAGCCCCGTCTTCCTTG